ACCCTAAACCCTAAACCCTAAACCCTAAACCCTAAACCCTAAACCCTAAACCCTAAACAAAGAAACCTTCAGCGAAACTCAAGCACTCCTGAGGGTGGGACCCTGCAGTGCCTGCCGGATTCGGGCAGGCAGAATGCAAAGTTCAGCTACTTGGAGGATCATGGGGCTTAGTAAGTAAGGTTATAAGTCCCCTAATTGGGGTTATACGTATAGCTACCTTAGTTATAACCCTACTTACTAAGTCCCATGATCCTTGAAGTGGGATCCCAGGTAGCATTAAGGAGACCCCTTAAAGGGGACCCTTCTTAACCCTACTTATGGCTCTCTTAAAAGGGACCTTATTGAGGGGGGGTCTATCTCCCCCAGGGCCCCCTCTAATCCTAACTCCTTTAAGAGGGATTTGAGTTCAGGGCTTCAGCGCTTTGGGTTTTGGTCGTAAAGGCTGACCCTAGACCCCTGATGCGCATGCTTCCTGGTCCCACCGAGTCTCTCATGTAAGGAAATTCAGGGCAGCGGAATGTGATATTCCGCAGGGGCAGATCCCTGTCACAACTGAAGTTGCGTAGCTCCAGCACCGGCATTCCGTGGTCCATACGCAAGTGCCAGGATCCCTGGTGCCCTAACCTCAGGACACCTGACCGGCTGGTCCGTAGAAAGTGGATCCATCCGTCCATCATGTCCATCATGACGTGTGAGCGGTCCCACTCCAGGAAGAGGAGCTCCCGTCGACCCTGATGTGCCGATGCGAAGACAGAAACGACGACGACCTAAGCCGGGTTTAGGGTTTAGGCTGTTCAGACCTCAAGCTTAGAGGCTCAGTGGTTTGGAATTTAGTGGAAAGCAGCTTCATCCTGATTGCCGCACCAGTGTTGCCTAAACCCTGCACTCCAGAACTACACCTCGAAAATAAATAAACCCTAGATCCTAAACCCAGAAAATCATGGTTGAAACTAGTTGCATACCACAAGACCTAGGGTTTTCCGCCTAAACCCTAAACCCTGAACCCGAAAGCCCTAAACCCTCAACTTTAAGGAGCCCTGCAAGCCTACATCCGAAATCCCGAAAGCCGAATCTCAAGCCGCCAACCCTGAAGCCTTGATCATGGAAAATCCAGGGGCACTAGTATAAAGGTGCTATATAGGTTTAGGGTTTGGGGTTTAGGGGGTTTAGGGTTTAGGGGCATCTCGGGCGGATTTCGGGTAGCAGAGTACCAGAATTCCATGGCACTCTGAACTTCCGACATGCTGGTGCCCACGTAGTTCCTTTCATCGAACCAGGACAAATCTTTGAAAGTGACCGAGCATACTTGTGGCGTCTCATCTGTCCCCTTCCAGTCTCGAGGCAGAGCGGTCAAACCCGTGGGGCCGGCAGGAACCGTGCTGGCGTCGGGCAGCAAGTTCTTAGACTGGAGGAAATCGAGGGCCGTACGGATATTGGCCAGAACGGATTTCTGATCGTCCTCGGTGGAGTGTCATCATCCGGCACCGCCCTTTTTTTGGGAGTCGTCCTGGCCGCTGGGCCTTGCCACCGAACTTCCTGGAAGGCCGACGCGACATGTACAAAGGTGCTATATAGGTATGGGGGGCCGTATAGCAGTATCCTAAGTCTTGTCAAGGCCCTGTAATATAGAGGCCTTAATGGACGCCTGAATAATTAGAATAGGGTTTTGCGATATTTATACCAAAATCATAACAAGGAACCACCAAAATAGTCTTGGTCATTATTCAGGCCCTTCAATATATGGGTAGTTCTCTAAACTCGGGTCCCTGTTGCCTTCACCTTGGTCCTGACTCCCCTCGAACACGGAACCCTTGATCCACCCCCCCAACACCCTCACTGCTCTGAAATTCTGGAACCGCAGCGACTTAGGGCCTTAATAACGATAGAGAAGGTGTTGAGGTAAAGTATGCTTTACGGATATAGGGCCTGTAATATTTGGGCTACAAGGGGACGCAAGTATTGCTTATTCCGACGGATAAAGTATACCTTAAACTGCTAAGCCCAGTAGCCCTCAAAAGCAACACTCTATGAACCCCCCACAAAGACTAATTCCAATCCTCGTCGGCGCTGTCGCAGCCGACGGTCACTGTCTCCGCGTGCGACAGTGCAACCGACCTCGCTTCAAACCCTACACTAACCCCAAAGCCCTGAACCCAAAC